CCAGATTTCATGGCAGTGGAACCTGCTTTTACAAGTCTCCGAATCCTCCCTGAAAGGCAAGGACTACCTTGGCAGGGACTGCCCTTAGAAACATTGTATGAATAAGGAGTTAGCTCCCCAAGGCAGGGCCAGCCTGGAAAGGGCCTTGCCAAAGATAGACAGGAGGGAACCATGATAGTCCTACATATCGGGCCAGGCATAATAAAATATCATGATATCCAGGAGAGTTAAGGGATCAAGGATGGTTTGGAAAGTTATGGGACAGTCACATTGCTTAAGCTCATGCATGCAACATTATTAAAAAGAACCCGACATCTCCGTATTGACCTGTAAAAATGCTATTTTGTTAATTCTAAAGAGCAAGTTGTAGAGAAACATGTGTAGGCTGATCCCATATTTGTAAAAAGGCAAAAACTGGTTTTAGTGGAATCTTTAATATCTACATGAACCAAAAGAAATAGGTGGAACAACATGCATCAGACTATTGTAACTCTGGTTCACTCAGGAATATGGAAGTAGGTTAGGAAGAATGAGGAAAGCTTTGCTTTATACAACTCTATTGCATAACATGTTACAATGAGCATGTCGTGCTTCTGGAACTTAAAAATAGGAGGAGAGCTAAAAAAAAAAAAAAAAAAGGTGGGGCTGGCAAGGAATATAATGAGGAATAATGAAAAATGAGGTTTAGGAGCTAGTTTGTAGCTAGGCCCAGTGCAGGGCTGGGGTCTCTTGGCAAGGCTGGTACATGCTCCATAGGAAGGCCCAGCTTCCTGGAAGGGAGGCTGACCTGGGTAGGTCCTTCTTCTGGCAGCAGCTAGAAAAATCTAACATTCACCTGCAATTTCACTTGGAAGGGCTTTTGGAAAAATAATTGGAATGATCCAGAGTAAGGAGTTGCTATCCTTCCTCTGAGGGCTCCAGAGGGGAGGTCCAGAGGGAAGAGAAGTACATCCTGTAAAGGCCCCAGAATGGGAAAGACTGCTTCCGCCCCAGACTCAGAGCACACCTCTCAACCACCTGTGAGGCAGGCCCCAGGCCTTGCACTGGAGCCATTGCCCACAGCTTGGATTAACCTCCTTCCCTTGGCAGCAAATGCCGAGGCATTTGTCTTTGAAGGGTGATGGCTCAGAAGCTACACAACTTTCAAACATGATTTATTTCATACTCTATTTGTGAATTAGGGTGTGTTTATAGTGAAAGGATGAATTAGACGATGAGGAGTCTGCTGGAAATATGAAGGGATAATTGAATCTCAAAGTCTATTAAAGACGGTTGTCTTACATCTTGTGGGATGACATTTTATTACAGGGGCCAACTTGGCTCTTGTATTCGCTTTCTTCTCTTTCCTTCCTTTCTTCATTATCTTTAGAAAATTAGGTTTTCCCTTCCCCCAATCAATCAGAAGCTGCAAAACAGCCTCCAAGGAGAGTCAGGATCTCTGAGAGGAATACCTGGGGGTCGTGGCATTGCATAGCAGTTCAGCATGGGGGTCCGCAGTGGGCCAATTACCATGGATCTTACCTCCTCTAAGCTCCTATTTCCTTTTCTGCAAACTGTGGTCATGTTTACTTCTTAGCTGTTATGAAGATGCCGTGAGATGATGCTGAGCACCGGGCTGGCACCTGCAGTGGGTGCCTGGCCAACTGTTAGCATCAGAATTCCCAGTTCTGCCCCCAGCTTGCTCTGCTCCTGCAGGCAAATCAGTGGTGCCCCTGTTCCTCAAATGCCAGCAGAACTCTCAACAGTTAATAACTCCAGGGGAGCCAACAGAGCTACCAAAACCGTTGAACAGCAATGACAATAATAATCAAAATAGCCCACCCCAGTTCCTCTGTGGAAGGATAATGTCATTTCAGCAGGGACAGCTCTCTCCAGTAAGTGGGCCTCTCCAAAGAGCCTGGAATCTGCTCCTCCGGGCTGCTACAACTGGCCTTGTTCTGTGGTCTGATCTGCTGGGGACCTAGATACACACACTTCTGAAACTGGCCAGGGGTTCTGGCACAGTCACGCCACACAGCCTGCCAAAGGGAAAGGCCCTTTCTTTGGAGCAAATTGCACTGCACACATTGCCATCAAGAAAATGAAAGCACTCACAGCATGGCCCCCAGCTTTTCTCTGCAGCCTTCTGAAACAATTCTGTGACCACAAAATGGCAGGAAACAGAGGTCTTTCTATCTGACCTGCTCATGGGGCGGGCATCCGAGCACGGGGCGTGTCCCTCCTGCCCTGGTACCACTCGGATCACTGTGGCTGTGTTTGTCTCCTCTCTCTGAGGAGGACAAGGCAGGCACGCAGGCAGAGGGATATATTTCAACTGCTCTTGACTCTGTTTATAATCACAAACATGAAAGGAAGGGAAAGAGGTTGAGTTCATAAGACGGGTTCTTTGTGTAGCCTAATTTATCTCTCTTGGGCAGCAGTGTGCTGAGTGGGTTTCCTTTTTGTTTCTGATGCGGGAAAGTGAAATATGAATCTACGTTGATGAGAGAGTAAAGGAATTGAAAGAGGCATAAATCTTATCTTCTTGCAACCCTAAAAGATCAGCTTCTTGTGAAGAAGGGGATTATACTTCTATAATTAACTGCTTTGCAGCTCCCGGTGATGGCTCAGAGCTGAATAATAGCACCCAGCAAAGTTGGGTAAAAGGCAGGCGGGCGGGTACAGCAGCTGATCGTGAACAATGGTCTCAGGGCTTGCCATCCTTTTCCACTGCCCAGCTCTCAGAGAGTCAGCCAGGAGATATTTGCCACCTGTCTATCAACATTCAGAGCAGAGAGAAAAGAATCCAGAACAAATAGCTTGTAGAGACCTGTTCCTCCATAGGCTGGTAGCTGCCAGGAGATACCTTGCAAGCCTAAACCAGGGTTTACACCCCTCTGTGTGCCCAGCGCTCAGTGCCTGTGAAGTGCTCATACACGCTTGTTGGAGGTGATTGCCACTTACCAGCTGTGGGATCTTAGGAAAGTTGTCTAACTCCTCTGATCTTCCATGTTACCATCCACAAAATGTAAGGGTAGGGTGTCTTACAGAATTCTTGTGAGGAGGAAGTCAGGTCATGAGTATAAAAAAATTACTTATCACAATTCCTGGCCCGTGGCAGGTGATCAATAAATGGCAGCTATTATTATTATATTGTGGAATAAAAATTGATTGCAAACTCATGGCCATTATAATAGTCCACACTGTTGAGACTCACTGCACACAGGCACTGTACATCCACTGGTGCGTGAAAGCCTCATGACACCTGGATCAAAGAGGCAGGATTCTTTCCTTGCATTTCACTGGGGACAAAGCCAACTCAGACTGGACCAGGGACCTGCTCAAGGTAAACGGCAGTAATGCAACTGGAAGCCTTGGGCTTCTTCTGCCCTCCCCTCCCCTCATCTCTCAGAACCAGGCTTACAGGTACTCAGCCTACTTTTCTATGTCTGTCCATCACTCTCACCACCCTAGAATCAAACCCCTGGTCCATTTTTGCTTCCCTTTCTCCTCCCTTATGCACAGCAGCATCACTGAGTTCTAGTGTTCTTCTTTTAAGATATTTCCAGAATTTTCCCCTACTCAGTCTTGCTGCCACTTATGCTGGCCCAGACCCTCATCTCATGAAAACTAGGCTTCCCATAGCCAGCAGGCTCCTGAGTGGTGTCTCAGTCTAGGCTCCCTTTCTGTTGCCCATGCCAATGCTGGATAAATTGTTCCAATCTGCATTTTCTTGTCCTTCCTCATAAAGGACCAGCAGCCATTCCTCACTGCTTGTCAGATCTGCTCCCCATTCCTTGCCTGGTATTCAGGGCCCTTCAGCTGACCCACCCAAACTCATCTCTTCCTACTCACAGAACCCCTTTCTCCAGCTGAGCCTGCCTCAGTTTCCCTTAGGCAGGCACCCCATAGCCACTCTGAGGGCTTAGTAGATTAGATCCTTGATAAAAATGCAAATGCCTGCCTGACATAGGGATGCCCCGTTCAATGTGCAGTAAGTGCTTGCAGAACTACGGGATATAGAGATCATCTATTCCATCCACCCACCCATTCTACAGATGGAACCTGAAGCCCAGAGAAGCTCAGTGATCTAGTCAAGGTCACACAGTCAATTATTTCAAAATGAAATCTCAAACCTAGGTCTTTTAGCTTAGAATTCAGTGCTCCTCCACTGGCTCAATACTGCCCCCAGAGATAGCTGCTAGTTATGGGGTGGGGTGAAGGGATAGGGATGATTGATATATTTAGTACTCAGACTCCAAGTTTGCCCTAGACCTGTGTCATTCACCAAAGGGACAGCCTGAAAGCCTGCTGAGGAAAAAAGCCTGAGTTAAGTACTGGTGCCAGAGGAGAGGCAAGAGTGGAGAGAAGGGGCTGAGTTGGAGTTTGAGATTTAGGGGATTGTAATGGAAATCAGCAACACAGCACGGCAAATATAAACACGGCTGAATACCAGTCCAAGCAGTGTGCTGTGAGAACATAGCGATTAACTGCTCTATTCGTATGGGAGATGGGATCCAGGAGAGCTTTGGGGAAGAAATGGCTCATGACTTGGGTCTAAAGAACCAGAATTTTGCTCAGTGGTAATCAGGGGCAAGGTACCCTGGGTTGAGGGAGCAGCAGAGACAGAGATAGAGGGGCCAGACAGCCCGGGATGTGTGTGGGCAACAGCAAGGTCGAGAGCTAAGGAACCTGAATAAAGCAGAGAAACCTGGATTCAAGTTCTGATTCTGCATCTAGTATGACCAGTTTGGGATTTGGACAAGTCACTTTATCTTTCTGGATCTTAATTTCCTTATCTCTAAAATGGTCATAATGATATTATCTGTCTCCTGGGGTTATTGTGAGGATAAACCAAACAGTAAGGCACCAAATATAGGGCCTGACACATAGTAAGTGCTCAACAAAAGGTCCAGTATGGCTGGAGCTTAAGTGCTGTTGAACCACAGGGCCAAGCGGAGGTTTGGGCCATGCTGCAGGTTTTATTTCGCCTTCCAGTGGACCCTTTCTTCTCTTTCCAGGAGCTCATCAGCTGGCCCAGGAGGGCTGCTTGCCCACTCATGGTTGCCAGGATGTTTGGCCATCCCCAGTCCAGAGTGACCATCTGGTGTTGTCATCATCATTGAGCCCTTTGCAGCCTGACCACACTGGGGCCAGTGTTCCAGGTTTGGGAACATTTGCTGGCAGAGCCTGTGTTTGGAAGTGAGAGCAGTGTTTAGGTAGAAACAGACACTGAAAACAGCTGCTGGCTTCTCTGCCTTGGTGAGTGCAGAGCAGGATCTGCCACTTTGGGCTTTGCAAGGGAACAGGGAGCACAAGGCAAGCAAGCTTTTGGGGTAGGGAAAGGCCATTTTTTTCAGGGAGTGTGCCAGCCTCATCAGGCAGGGGCTGGGGCTGGGGGCTGGAAGGAGGGGAAGGTTAGAGGCCCTTCCTTCCCTCTGGGCTTCTAGGTGTTCAAGACTCTATAGGTTCTTCCTGCCATTTAATATCTGTAGGACTTTGGGTCAATTTTCAACCTCTCTGGATGGGCCACTCAGCAAAGCGTTTCCTGGCCTGCCCCTGTATGCCATTTTTCTTTAGTGAATGGTTGTCAAACTTACCCATACATCAGAATCACTAGGGCAGAACTCATTAAAAATTCAGATTCTGGGCCCCTGCCCCAGGACCTTTGGGGGCAGGGCCCAGGAACCTGCATGGAATGAACTTTCAGGTGATTGTGGTATTGACATCCTAGAAACTACACCTTGAGAACCACAGTCCGATTTCAAACAGGTTCTCAGGAAAGCAGGAGCAAGTGGAGGGCAGAAGTGGGGGTGATAGCTCATGCCACCGCACCGCTCCTCTTCACATGCACACCTGTGAAATGCCTTTGTCTTCAGCTTGGAAACAGATGCTCTTACATTTGGTTTCTCTGGAACAGATGCCAACCCTGTTCTAGGATATGAAAAGTGATACCCCATTCCTACATTTACCTCTCTTGCTATCCATCCATCCATCTACCTATGTATCCATCTATACACCCATCTATCATCATTCATCCATTCATCCCTCCATCCATTCATCCACCTATCCATCATCCATGAGAGTGAGGGTGTGTAGAAAAGTAGGTGAGTCCTGTGAACAAAATCCCTTTGCATCATCTACTGAAAGAGCAGAGGCCCATCCTCAGGCCCCATGCAGCCATGCTGTGATGCTCCTCTGTAGCTGCAACCTCTGAACTCAGCCCAGCCCTATCTCCTGGCATTTCTGAGTGAAAAGGAACCACTCTAAAGTGCACATGTTGCAGGCTTGAGGTGGCTGTCTCTTACACAGTAAAGCTGTGCAATTAACGGGTGACAGCCATCTAAGCTGAGAGGCATGGGATGTCTCAAGAGCCTGGCTACAGGTACTGACTCTGCCTGCAACTCACTGTAACTGTGGACAGGTCTCTGAGCCTCAGTTTCCCCATCTCTAAGATGGAAGATTGGCTTCCAGCTCTACTAGTTTTCCTGTCTTGAGCATGGCCCTGACACCCTGGCTATAACACACTTGTTAACAATGACCTCTCTCTCCACCCCAAGCTCATCTATGTGTCAGAGCACATCAGAAGCACAACATCTCTCAGGTTTAATGGATTTTTTTGTGCCCCCAGCATATTCCTGCAGCCCAGAAGTGTTTTGCAGGGAAACGGCCAGGTGGAAGTAAACCTGAAGGTGGTGCTGTGGCTCCAGTTGGGGACCTGCTCTCTGGAGCAGGTCTGGGTTTTCAGAATATCTTTGGAAACTGGGTAGGGTTGCTGGCAGGTTCTCTTCCTTCTTGTGGCCCTCACAGTCCAGCAGTCCCTACTCATTTTTAAGAAGCAGCCAGGCCAGCCCACTTGGGTCCCCCTGCCTCCTGGCCCCCTTCCCTCACCTTCAGAGCTTTCTGCTTCCCTTTGGGTCCCTCCTTCAGGACAGGAGGAAGAAAGCCTGTTGTGAACAGCATGTGGTAGGGTAGAGATTCATGCCTGGGTTTCCTGGGGGCCCTGTTTCCCGGTGCTCAGCACAGCCCAGGGCCTTCAGTGTGGAGCTTCCACTGAGTCTGTGACTTGTTATGACATGATGCGACATAATGATGTTTGGGTCACAGCATTCTTGACTCCACACCCCCAACTATGGACTCCATACCTGGGAGGTTCACTGGATATTTTGAAAGCATTCCATATCCTCTTGCTGCTTTCTCTCCATTCATTTGGTTTCAGGATTTAGCTGAGCCATCTAATAAAGAACCAGGTGGAGAGAACGATAGGGGAAAGAAAGGGGAAAGTGCTAACATTTAAGTGTCCGCAGGATACCAAGCACTTCCACAAAAGCAGTGGTTTTTATGCTTCTTTCAACTGCATGACACTGTCCTCCATCCAAACTCACAGACCCAACCCAGCCACGGAAACCAGAGACCAGGGGAGCTGCTCTAGGGGGACAGGGTGGGATGCCTAGGGCCCTGCCTCTTTGTATTCCATGCCCTCCTCCCCTCCCAGCAGCCCCTTTGGTGCTTTGGCAAAACCTGGATCCAAAACATTGTGCTTGTTAATTGTATATAACTCAGAGAGGAAATATCCTCATTTTTCAAAGATAAAAGCTGAAGTCCAGTGAGGTGATGCAACTTGCCAGGATCACATGATTAATGAAGGGCAGAGGGCCAGGCTGTAGGCCCAGGCAGGCCCACCTCCAAAGCCCCCAACTCTACACAGGAGACAGTGGGTGCTCTGTTTCCTAAGGAGGGGCAGGAAGGGGCTGTGGCTTCCCCTGCTGACAGAGGACTGTACTCGATACACATGGACATGGTTGGTGCTTGGATGTCTCTGGTAAACTGCAAAGAAGGAACTGTGGGAGATGGGAAACACAAGGGGTGTGAGTTCTGCACCACCAGAAAGATGATCATTCAGCTCCCAGTCAGTCTCCAGGCTGGCTGACTTCAGAAGACACTGGCCAGCATGTGCTGGAAATTCAGACATGAAATTTCTAGACCCTGATTAGACTTGATTTTGTTCCAGGACAGCCGGGGTTTGGGGCTGTAAAAGAAGAACTGAATCTCCATTCCTGCTTTGCGGATGGAGGGGAAGTTGTGGAAGAGCAGCTCCTGAAAAGCAAGATGCTTTAGGAAGAACCAAATAGAAGTCACATGTTTGCTTGGAATTTGTTTTATCTGTTCAGAACCTTACTATAGATTTGGAGTCAGAAATACTTGGGTTCAAATGTCATCTCTGCTCATTCAACCTGACTTTTTGAGTCGTGGTTGCCTCCTTTGTAAAATGACATCACAGACAATCCCTATGTTACCAATCTGTTAAAAGGATGAAATGAGCTCTTGTGTGGGCAAGCATCAAGCCTGGGTGGGGTGGGGGTGGGGTGCAAACTACACAGTGGATCTCTCCGTGCTCTCTCAACTTTTCTCCAAGCCTGTTGAATTTATGGTATGCGCTAAATGGATATACTTCCAAGGGGCACTAAGGGATGGGTTATCACTTCTCACTGCAGTCAGCTGGCTGAAACACTCAGTTTTTCATCTTAATATGTGAGATGTGGCACTCAGAATTCTAAACTTAGAGTCTCAAAGAACTCAGGATGGTTGAATCCAGCTTGTTCATTTTAGAGATGAGGTGAGTGATTTCCCCAAGGTCACTCATTGGGCTAGTGGCAGAGCTGGCGCTAAATCTCCACCTGCTGACTCTTAGCCCACTGCTTTGCCATCCCAGGTAAGAAGGAGCCATGGAGGGCATGAAGGAAAGCTGCCAAGGATGCTGTCTTGATCTGCTCTGAGCCATGATTCCTGCATCTGAAAGGAGGATAGAGTGAGAGCTTCATCAACGGAGATCCGCTCTGCTCCATGAATCCTGTCATGTGCAGGTCACCACTTTTTTCGGGAGGAGAGGCCTCCATTATAGGCCTGAGGTCTCAGGAGCTAGCACCAGGCCTGTCTGAGGTGGAGCTGGCTCCTAGCACAGGTACCAGGGTGTAAGGGGACACTCCAACTTGGAGTTGACCCCATCCTTGCCTCTTACCAGCTGTATGGCCTGAGCTGGGAATGACTGTCTCTAAGCCTGTTTCTTTATCCGAGAACCAAGGAGAATAAAAGTCTGTATCTCAGAGGCTATTGTGAAGGTTAAATAAATAAAATAGTAATAGCCAACACTTGATGAACATGTACTATGTGCCTAGTTGGGTTTGTATTTGCTCATTTAATCTTCATAACAACTTGTATCTTACTGCTGAGAAAACAGAGGCTCAGAGTGGTTAAGCAGAGCCCAAGGACACACAATTTGAGAGGACAGTGCCAGATTGTGGACCCAGGAGCCTGGCTCTGGCATCCCACGCTTAATCACTCTACCCTCTGGCCTCTGGAGTTAGGCAAAACACAGTGCTTAGCACATAGTGTTCCAAAAATTTCCCTCCCTCGCTCCCTCTCTTTTCCCCACCTTCCTCATCCCTGCCCTTCTCGACCCGCAGGGTGGGTTTCAGAAACTGTGTGCTGTAGTTCCTGGAAATCTGTGTAACTTGACCAGCTCACCTTGAATCATTTTCTTCTCTGTTTTGTCATTGGTTTTGTTTTTTATTTTTTGTTTCTTAGTCAAAAGCACAGCTGAATTGCCAGCAAGGCAAATCTCATGATCCTGTGCTCATGGACACCAGGTGAGCCTCTGAGCTCAGCTAAGCTCCTAAACTCAGTGAAGTGGCATGATTGCTTGTACATGCACATGCTAAACCCCCAGCCTATGGGCCAGCTTCCTGAATACAATTGACCAGTTTGGGAGAAAATGCGCCTTCTTGTTTAACACTTGCTCAAGTTGCTGGTAACTATAGAGACATTGTCAACACCTTCAAATACTCTTCTTAGCATAGAAACTTGTCTTTTTAGCAGTCTCTACATAGTCCCAAAGAACAGAGGGGCTCAGGAAGCAGCAGGAAAGGCTGAGTCACCGGGTCTTCCTGAGACCCAACAGGCCCCTGAGGCTCGGATTCCTTTCCTGCTCCTTGCAGGCCTTGGGCTCACAGAGGAAAAAGTGAGGGACTAGGAAAGGGTGGCTTTGTGAGAGGCACCAAGCTGCATAGCGAATAAAGGAAAATCAGAACAGTGAGGAATCTGGCCAAGGTGTTTAAATGTCCAAATTTATTTTCCCAGTGGCCTAAAGGAAAGGCAGTCTGCCCTGGGGATCTGAATCTCCTGCTGTCATGGTTGAAGGGCAAGGTCAGAGTCCCCAGGAGACTGGATGCTAAAGCCAGGTCTCAATCCTGCTTCCGAGCTGCTGAACCAGTGTATTTATACAGTGGTGGACAGATCCTCAAGCTGCCTCTTGTCCTCCCCATCTCTGCTTGTTGAAACTTTTCCCATGCTTTAGGACCCCTCTTCTGCCAAATCCAGAAAGATTTAGAACCAATCCCCTTTCTCTCCCTTGTATCTCTCATTATAATCTCATCTCTCACCACTTTCTACCTGGTGTTATGGCTGCTTATATACCTACCTTCATTCCAGAGACATCATTCAGCTCAAGTTACATGGCAGGACCAGAGGTGATGAGAAATATGCCATCCATGTTCTCACTTAAAGAGCTTACATGTTCACAGTCTAGCACAGATGGGCAAGTCATCACATACTTAAAACACAGTGTGAAGGAATGTACAGACTGCCTTGGATGCCGAGGGGCCAAGGCATCAGCCTGGGGTGGGGAGAGGGAGATCCGGAGAGATTTCCTAGAGCTGATGATGCCTGGCTTATGTTGCTTACGTCTTACAAGATGAGTCACAGAAGGGCAGGTGCTGGAGAAAAGGCAGCAATTTAGGATGGTGGAACCTCATGTGCAAATCCAGCAAGGTATGGGAGAGTAGCTCTCTGGGAGGGAGCTTAGATGGCTGGCATGGGGTGTCCTGGGGCCAGTGGAGGAGGTGGGGTGGGACTTTCTCAGGCAATGGAGAGCCATAGGAAAGTTTCTAGGAGGCAAGGGACCTAATTGGATCTGCATTTTGAAAGACAATTTGGCTACTGCATGGGAAGTAGACTACTGGGAGGCTCACAGTGAAGCAGGGAGGCCAGGTAGGAGGCAGTAGCATTAGTCCAGGTGAGGGATAATGGCTTGGACTGGCGCAGACTGGGCAGCAACAGTGTTGGTATGAGAAATGGAAGGCTTTGAGATCTGATCTGTCTGGGATGTAGACTTGGCAGGACACAGTTGTTAACAGGATGTGAGAAGCAGGAGGGAGTTGGGGGTGACCCCAGAGGTGCAGCTCCATAGGCCAATGTGGAGGATCAGGTCTGGAGAGGCGAGGCTTAGGCAATGTTGACCTGAGGGGTCTGGGGCACCTCCAGGTCTACCCAGCAGCACTTTCTCTGCTTTCCCTGTTCCCCTGGCCTGCCCTTCCTGTGGGTCTCTCTCAGACACACTGCCTAAACCGATGCTACAGGGCTAGCCTGAAGGTAGGTCTACTTTTTTAACCTCAGGTGCCAGAGACATTTGAAAACAGTCACCAGAGAGATGCACCCCTAATGAAAGTGTTTGTGCTGAGCTCCTGTGTGCCGTGCCTCCCTGGGGCATTTGTGCTTATAGAGAAATCCAGACAAGGACACAACAGGCAGAATTCCAGGGCTGTCAGGAGAGACTGGCAAGAGCCCTTCTCGAGAGTGCTTGCCTGAGATCACACTAGCTGGGGTGGTGGGCCAGTCAGGCCTGGGGCCTTTCCTCTTGCATCCTACCCTGTTTGCCACTCTGCAACCTTCAGTAGTGGGCCCTGCACCCTGTCTCCCCATGACTACTTCCACATTGGGTCTGCACCACCAGCCACCAGAACCTGGGAAAGTTTTTGTCCTTCCTGGGCCTACTTCCTTAGTCATACAATAATAGTTACACTCTTTCCCTTCCTCTCCACCCACTTTTCTTCCCCCTTCCATGGTGGTTAAGAGCAAGTCCTTGGAACCAAGCTGACCTGGGTATGAATTTCAGTTCCACCACATTCTATCTATATAAGTTACTCCATCCATACCTTAGCTTCCTCACTGGTAAAGTGGACATAGTAATAGTACTTACTGCACATTATTATTGTCCATATTCAATGGGTGATGCATGGAAAGCTCTTGGCTCAGTGTCTGGCACCCAGTAGGTGCTCAAAAGCTGCTAAGGTTAAAGTCATTATGGTCACCAGGATTCCCACCCCTGATACTCGCTGCGAATACTCCCAGTACAAGAGTCACTCTGGCCTGGATGCCAGCTGTCTAGTCTAGAGGCAGTGGCCTGGACTGGATGATCCCCTGGGTCTCTTTGGTTTGGGACTCTAGGATCTCAATGGCTTAGGAACATTCTTTGTGAACTTTCTTCACTTTGGTTCTCATGGTGATTTGGAAGCTGACCTCAGTGGGTCTTTGCCTCTGTTTAGTTTTTCCACATTTTCTGGAGACTCCATCCCTCCTGTGTCCAGACAGGCCAAGGCATGCACTCTCAGTCAGCCATCACAGCCCACCTGCTGTCTCCCCGATGACCGAGGTTCTGGCTCAGCTTCATTCTGCATATCCTAAGAATGTTCTGAGGAACTTCATGTACATCTCCTCACCTGCCAGCACTCTGCATTTCTGAAACTGACTTCAGAGCAAAGGGAAATGGCTTTGGCAGAATGAGCTTTTAAATGCCATGTGCCTCCTTTCTGCCAGCAGTTCGTGGTGCCCAGACAGCATGGCTTCTCATGATTCCTCTGCTGGTCACCTTGGTCCATGTTAGTCATTAGTCATGGTTCTCCAGACAAACAGAACTAGTAGGGTGTGTGTGTAAGTATAAAGAGATCTATTTTAAGGAATTGGCTCACACAATTATGGAGGCTGGCAAGTCTAAAATCTATGGGTGGGCCATCAGGCCGGAGACCCAGGGAGGAGCTGGTGCCACAGTTCAAGTCTGAAGACTGTCTGCTGCAGAATTCCCTCTTGCTCAGGGGAGGTCAGACTTTTGTTCCACTCGGGCCTTCAGTCGATTGGATGAGGCCCACCCACATTATGGAGGGGATTCTGCCTTACCCAAAGTCTACAGATTTAAATGTTAACATCATCTAAAAATACCTTTACAGAAACATCCAGATGATATTTGGCCACATATCTGCATGTCATGGCCCAGCCAACTTGACACATAAAATTAATTATCAAACCCATTATTGGCACACATAGAAATATCCCGGGCCTCAGGGATGCCTCTCCCCTACTCCACATTTCAGGCTAGATAGTATCAAGACTTAGTTCTTGCTTCCCCAGAGGATCATGATGGAAAGGGACCAACCACCAGGCATATACATGTAAATGATACATTGCCATAGAAAATTTCAACCTTGGCCTGCAACAGTCCACGCCTGGGCCTGGGCCTGAGAGGCCTAGCAGCCGAGTAGGAGGCACTGAGCATGTCAATGGTGAGAGTGGGAAAGGTAGGGAGGCATGGTGCTGTCCCCATGACTTCAGAGAGTGGTTTTTAAACCTAGTTGCATATGCAGATTCCCAAATCCCACTATCAGGGGAAATACCTAATTCAGAAGATGAGGACATCTGAATTTTTAGCAAGTAATTGATACATTGCCATAGAAAATTTCAGAATGAGAGTGGAGCTATGAGAATCTCTGGGCCCAGACATTCTAGTCATCTCTTAGAGGTGAGGCACCATAATTTCATGCTGAATCTCTTTTCCTTTTCACTTGAATGACTCCCGTGATAGAGGTGTTACTCCCTCTGAGGAGGCTCCTTGAGTTTTTAAGAGGTGACATGCTAAGTCTGTCTTTCTGTACCTTCCATCTGCTGGTCCTTGCTGTAGCTCTTAGAACCAGAAGGAATCCATTAATTGCTCATCCACTGGAGAGCCCTTGAGCTATTGATGACAGTTCTCATTTCCTGCTGCATCTTCTCTGGCCTAAAACCTCCCAGCCCCCTCAGCAGGCAACATCTCTTTCAGTTTGAGGTCCCAGAAAAAAACTCTGCTCAGGCTGTAGTTTGGCCCATGCAAGGTCTAGTAGAGTAATCACCTCCCTGCTGCTGGACACTCCAGCCACATTAATGTGGTCTTTGGCCTCTGTATTAGTCCCATCACACCATGGATGGAGTCCTCTAAGTCTGGGCACCTGGCCTGGGTCCATACGCTCCTCCTTTCTCTTGATTGAACTGCTCGACCAG